TGGTTGACAATCTTTTCATATACAATAGGTGAGGCCCACGATTAGAATAATCGTGAGCTCCACAAGTACAGCATGGTACATACAGCCTTTTTGGAGAAACATAGATGCATATTGTATTCTTTCTTGGAACTTTAAAATAGTCAAATGCAAAAGAATTCTATTAGCTTGAAATAACTATTCTTGAAATTTTAGTACATGCCGATTAAATAAAGAAAGAGAGATGCAATAAATTTTAGGACAATTCCATTTAAGTCAATCTTTTTTATTGTACAAAAAAAAATTAAAGGTCTTAATTAAATCCATCATTTCATTGTTTCCAGGCTACACACATACATATTCATGATATAGCGTGTAGTAAACTTACTAGGAAGTACATTGTATAAGTGATTTTTTAATGTTCGATCATTCATTAATAAACATAATCGAACAACAACAAAGAAAAATTAACTTCTTTTTATTTTATAATTCTATCACGAATTATCTAATCATTTATCCTAAATATTTTGCCAAGTTGTAATCATGAAAAGTGTGTTCAAAGAAAGAAGACAATAACAACTCCAAGTTGAATGCTTCTTCTCTCTTTCCTAAAATAATCTATACTTAATTTCCAAGTTTATGCAATATTCAACTTTAGATAACTCCTTAAATAATTAACCTTTTTCATAATTGGCCCGACTGTTGAATTAATGCTCACTTATTCTTTCTTTATCCTTTGCTTTGCCTTATAAAACTCTATTTCTAAAGAATATACTTCCATCACTTAAAAAAAACATATGAAACCTTGAATTGGAGAATACTAAAACATTCTCTTTATATTTTAATTAAAGATTCTTGATTATTGATATCTTTTAATTTGTAAACTTAAAACAAGTAATTTAATCAACATTTTACAAGTGTGAACCCAGAATTATTTCTTCCTGAATTTTCTACCTATTCTTCCCCTACGCTTGTGCATGTCAGCCACGTAATTAGTGACGGAAGAGATTACTTAATCGCAGTCTTAAGCATAATTTAATATTTTTGCAGTGAGAGCAAAAAGTGACATAGTTATAAATTAGAAAGGGAAGTTGCCGACTTTACACGTATGACGTAACTCTCTGTGTTGCATCCATCCTTTTGTGGAAAAAAATTCAACAGAGGACACCGCCAAACATGGAATTTGTCTTCCTGTTCTGTTCCCACTCTCTATCAAAGTTAACTTCTAGACACTGTTTTTATAATGTTCGAATTTGAGGAATAATTCAACTGAAAACTACTTACCTTTGAGGATATATGTCGTTTATAAAAGGGGGAAAATTGTAGTAGCGGTCTCTAAATTTAGTATTTTTTTTTTTTTTTTTGCAGATTTTACTCGAACTTTTATTTTGTGCAAATGGAGGTTCTTAACTTTTCATAAATATACAACCGAGGTCCATCTGGAAAGAAACCGTCCAAAACACCGTCAGTTGATAGAAAAAATTAAGGAATCAACATTCAATAAAATCGTCCAAAAAAGTATCAACATTCAATAAAATCGTTGCGGTAACAGATAGTTCAAGGATTTTTTCTAGTCAATAGATAGTGTTTTGGATGGTTTCTGTCTAGATGAATCTCAGGTGTATATTTATGAAAGGTTAGGGACCTTCGTTCACACAAAATGGAAGTTAGAATAAAGTCTGCAAAAACGAAAAGGTTAGGGACCCGC